TTTATTTAATTGATTAGATTGCCCAATTAAGTGGGATTCCTGCAATTGAACGATCTGTTCAATTAAACGAGTATCGGTTAATTACAAAAGAAGACATCAAAATAATCGTACGCACGATATTAGGACGATATTGAACTATGAGAATTTACCTTACATCACACACATCCAAGTATATCATATCTACTGGCAATGTACATTGCTAACTATCTGTTAAATACATTGCTAAAAACTAAATGAACACTTAATGTGCACATATTATTTTATTTAATTGATTAGATTGCCCAATTAAGTGGGATTCCTGCAATTGAACGATCTGTCAATTAAACAAGTATCGGTTCACCAACAGAAAATAGCAAATTTGGCATATGAGGGTAGGGCATGAAATTATAAATATGATTCCTACTGAAATTCATATTTTACATGAGAAATATGAATGTTAAGGATTTTTTCTTCATGAAATGAATAAACTGAAAATAAATATTTTATTGTTATTTTTTTACTCCTGAAAAAGTGCAGCTTTATTATATTATATATAATTACCTACATATGCAGTTAATATAGATTTGATAAGTTATGAAGTACACATGTATGTATATTTATTTGCTTAGTTAATTAAAAGTTGATGTAACATCTTAAAAGACCAAACGTTTTTATATACATATGTATGGTATATATAATACATACATGCATAATAATGCATATATGATATACGAGTGAAGTGTCTCAATTTATGGAACACAAAGCTAGAATAACTAAAAGTGTTTTTAGTTTTTAGCGCGAAAACGCAGAGTAAAAAAGGGAATCCGTAAAGACCGCACCCTCATCTGCTGGTATTGTCGTCTCCCGTTTTTGTTCATCTACAGATCTTCACACTCAATTAAAACCCACAATCCACTTTAAGAGAAATTCCTGAGGAATCTTTGCTCAACACCAGCGTTACGGGATTGCTGTTTACGTATGTAGCTGCGAAAATGTCAGCTAAACCGAAAGCAGTAAATACCATAATCGACATCAATTACACGGAGCAATAAATCTCCCCGAACACCTGATCGATGGGTAATAACACCCAACACCTAATCAGTTAACACTGCTACCCCAACTGCGCATAATATAATCCCTTACGATGAAACAATGTGATCAACTGATAACTTGATTGTAGTCAATCTGCTGTGAACCCAAAGCGATACTAAAAAACGCACTATCTGCAACGGAAATGTTCATATGAATTCTGGTGCACCAATAGCATATTAGCAGACTCAGCAACAAATTAAGCCAGCATGCACAAATTAGCCAATTACTCGTGCGAAACAAATTTGATTGGTCAAGCTAAGCGATCAATAATAACAAATGTATACCTAACACTTCTGAAGGCACTCTGATCCCGCTATCAACGAGCCTAAACTAAACTAAAGGTGTAGATAATGTTGCAATGAGCCTCAAACTCCAATAAAAGAGCCGTGGAATATTGTAGCTACAATAGAAAAGCTAACCCTCAAACCGCAAAACCCCGGGCGATATTAATTTCAAACATGAAAATCTTACCTATGCTGAGATTCTTAGGAAAATACAGTCCCACTCTACCCTTAGCGAATTCGAAAAAAAAGTTACCCGAATTCGTAAAACGCAAAAGCTGCTGCAATTAAGCGTTTCAGCAATGTCAGCCGACTCACGGGAAGTAATGATGAAATGCTTTGGTGTATGAAGACTTTAATGAAATAACAACGACCTGACAATCTCAGCTATTAAGAGCCCCAAAAATTCGTACGGGACACCCAAACAGCACTTATAAAACTCCCTGCTGAGGATGTCAGGAAATTGTTTCAATCCAAGAAATGAAAAGTAGGGTGGGTTTGCTTGAAAGCACGCTCTAGTGTAACTAATCACTTCACTGAGAGAGTCAGATGACATAAAATTAGTATGCGGTTTTTGCACCTTAGCCTAAACCACTGTCAAGCAGCATATGACCTATTGAAACAAGTCCTTGAGAAGCAGATCGATTTGGCTTTACTCAGTGAACCATTTAAAATCGGTGAAGGTGTAGTTTGATCGAGCAACTCAAGGAATAAACAGGCTATGTGGAAATCTAACCCTAACTCCCCGCAACTGAAAAACCCTGTATCTGCGATCCGTAGTTGCTATATACCTCCCAGCACATATGACGAAGGTTTTAAGAACATCATCGACCGTTTAGTGGCTGATCCCCGAAGTAAAACTTATTTAATAGTAAACGGCGATTTGAATGAGACAAAACCTTGCTAGAACATTTTGCTTCCCTTGATCTTAAGCTGTTAAACACCAACCAACCCACATTCAACAAAGGTGGACGGCAGTCAGTGACAGATTTGACTTTTGTCCAATAAGTACTTGCAAGTACTCAATGGCAAATAAGTGATCTTTATACCTGTGGTGATCACTATGCCACTTATTTGAAACAAATGCCGCACACATACGAACCGACCCTAGTAAGATGTTTGTTGCGGCCTAAAAATGTTGACCCAGATCTCTTCAAAGGTTCCTATAAACTTGCTGCTTTACCCGAGAACCTGTTTTAGGCTAATAGTTTCGCCACCATATTTATGACCCGTCGAGCATGTGACGCCTCAATGTCCAAGCATACCCGGTTGCATCGTTTGCATCACCCACCCAGTATATTAGGGGAACGACAATATTGTTAAACTGCGAAATGAATGTCATATCAAAGGACCCGTGGCAACCCTGAGCATATACCTCTCCAAAGACTCTTGAAGGACAAGAGGAAACTATTAAAACAGTCCATTAAGAAAAGCCAACGCGAATGCTTTCTGGTGGTAATAGGAAAACTCTGTATCGATACTCTTATCAAGAGATTATGGAAGGAGCCTAAGAAATACCGAGTGTTTTGAACGAAGAGGTTCAAGAAGCATGTTACCGCTTAAACCCATCTAAAGCTCGGATTATTAAGAACATATAATAAATGACACATGAAAGGCTGATTCCTGCTGTGGGAAAGCAGCATCATATATTACAACCAAAATCAAGAAAGCCTTTGACAGACCGTTTCCGGCCATTCTGCGTGATAAATCCGTTAGAAAAATCCTTGAGCGAATTATATACCAACGCCTAAATAAAACAATCGATGACGCTGGCGGCTTATTCCTGAATCAATTTGGAAACTGTTACATTCAGTAAAAAAGGTGTTAATTTAATTACACAACCAACCCTTAAATATTTAGGAATTATTCTTGATGCAAGAATGTCCTTTAAAGAACACTTGGCCTACACCTGTGAAAAAGCTTCAAAAATATGCCAAACTTTAACCCTAATGATGCCCAATACCCAATGAAAGCAAAATATGAGAAGACTCCTGGCTAGAGCTCTGAAGTCTCTCGGGCTATATGGTGCAGAAGTATGGGAAAAAAGCAGTCGAAATAAAATCCTATCGACGCTGCCTTTTTTCGAATTATACCATTTGTGCACTCAAAGTATGCCCCGCATTTCGTACAGTGTCGGAAGATGCTGCCATTGTAATCGCGGGCTTACACCCATTATATCTCTTAGCTAAAGAGGTTAAGAAGTATGTAACTTACCACCCAGAACCTTAAAAGAAAATGCTCCAGCAAAGATGGTGAAAAGTTGGCAAAAACGATGGGCAACCAGTCGAAATGGACGTTTCAACTGATTCCCTACATTGACTCATCGCTAAAAGTACTACACGACGAGGTAGATTTTTACAACTTAATTTCTCACAGAACATGGCTGTTTCAAAACCTATTTGAAAGGTTTCAAACACGAAGGATATATGCGAAATTTGCGGAGGCGAAACAATTGAGAATGTAGAGCATA